AAGTCCTGAAAATTACAGCAGGAGTAGGAATACGCCAGACATTCAAACAGGGGTAAGTGGTTCAGACAATGAGGATATTCTGTACTGAAATGAGGTGTATCAGCACTGCTGATTCAGCCAGGATGAGATGGTGAGATGGAAGAGGAGAGAGTAGGCAAATATGAGGCTGGACAAATAGCAGAAGCCAGATCATAGAAAGTCTTGAAGGCTTGGAAAATGAGCTAAAATTTCACCTAGCAAATGATATGGAGTTACAGATAATGTTTTGATAAGATCACACTAGGAAAAAGGTAAGTGTAGGAGAGATGTTAGGAGTGGGATTCAGTGAGGAGACTACTCCAACAGCTAAGGGAGAGACCATGGGGTCCTTAAGGCATAGCTCCGGGGGTGGAAAGAGAATACAGTTAAGAAAGAGATTGATACAATAAATTTGATAGTGTTTGATTGTTGGATGGATGTGAGGAGAGCAGAAAGAAAATGAAGAAGTAAATATCTAAGAGTTTCAATTTCCAAAACCAGTAACCTCCCTATAGTAATTTGAATGAGAAAGCCAATCAACAGTCATTACTGATATGTGTTGCAAATTTACCTTGTCAAGGAACACAGGTAGTATTATATATCAACATGAGAATGGTATTTGTAAACTACCTGGATTACAGCTTTGTTAATTATTAAGATTCATGGTATATTCATGAGGGAGGGGGCATATGTATACCTAATGCCAATTCATGCTGATGTAAGGCAAAAACCATCACAGTATTGTAAAGTAATTATCCTCTAGTTAAGAATAAAAAAAAAGATGCATGGCATATTGGGAGCACTGGGAAGGAGTTCCAGAGTATAGCTGAACTTAAAATTTACCTTGAAGTGTTTGTACTAGATTTCATTCTCTTTAAGATTGCTGGAAACTCAATAAATCAATGGTGAATGTAACCACTGTCAAACTCTGATGAGTTCAAAAAAGTGAATTCCCACCCTATGGTAATTGTGCCTGGGAAAGTAGACATCTGGTCAGAAGATGAGGTGAAATGTCATTTGATTATGGGATAAAGGACACTGATAATGTTCACTGAAGGGGACTTCCCCACTCCCAAGGGCATGGATATGTAAAATAATTAATAAGGGATGAGCAGTAGAGAAAGGGTTTTAGAATGAGGGTTCATATCTGTGTTAGTTGCTCAATTGCGTCTGACTCTTTCCAACTCCATCGACTATAGCTTTCCAGGCCCCTCTGTCCGTGGGATTCTCCAAGGAGTTGGTAGCCATGTCTTTTAGGGAAGATCTGAAAGCAATACCTGGATGGCAGTGTGTGGGCATGGGGAAGAATGGAAGAAAGGTGACGGGAGTCAAAAACAAAAAACTCTTCTCTGTGTGAAGGAAGAGGGTTGGGCTTCCTTCCTTCTTGATGAGATCAGGCTTGGATGTACTATGTGACTTGGTTTCCTGATTGGGTTTACACCAAATAAAGATAAGAATTCTACTGAGCTGCTACTAACATCAATATCTTTAATGTGATGCTCCCAAACCATTGAAGAAGGAACTACAACTATGGGAGATATAGTCTTGTATTCAAGTCACTTAGCAGATAAACACTTAGCCCAGGGGTCAATTAAGGTGCTAAATCAACCAGAAAAATTCTTATGAATCTCATTCATTGTTCCGTTTTATAGCTCGAATATAAAGAAAGTGAAAGTCTAAGCACTGTGATCTTACATAGTGACAAATGACTATGATACTGATAATAATGGGTCTTGCTCCAACTCCAGGAATTTTGCTGATAATCTATTTCTTTATGCGACCATAAGGGGAAAAAAACAACAAGGGATATATAAACACTGAGATCTCATGAATTGACTAAAGGGAATGTTGCCAACTTTACAATGCTAGGCTATAATTCTTCTCTTTTCTAACTAGAATCCTCTTAATTTCCTTACTCTGTTCACAGAGGAAATAGCTTATTAATTTCTTTTCCTTTAATAACTAGGACAATGCTTACAATATAAACTTAAATGGAAAAGAAAGGGAATACTCATACAAGGTATAAATACACATTTTTATACAGATCTCATACTGGTTTTATTTTTTAATAAGCCTGTACTATTTATAATTAATTAATTTTATATAATAAAATATCTTACATATAATCTTTTATATTAAATAATACTATATAATGAAAATATTTTAAAAGATAATATCAATTTTCCAAAAATGTCATCAGTCTGCATCCATTTTAAAAGGTCTTTGACAGCAAATTTTATGTTATTTCCAAAATACTTTGTTTTCCATGCTCTATTTATAAATATAATAACAAATAGCTGGTAGACATTTTTAGGTAAAAAATATTCAAAAAGTGCTAATATAGGGAAATTTATCTTCAGTCATTCATTTAAAAAATGTTCTCCTATAAGCCTTCTGATGAAACTTATATTTTCCAGAAACTCAAATAAAAATATGTAAATAAAGAGGCAATTATTTCTTATACTTTCTTTTTTTCTTATTTAAGATCTATTTGAAAAGTTATTTCACAACTACAACAGAGAACAGAGTGTTGGCATTAAAAATTCTTCTGAAGAGGTCAATATCTATGGATTATATACAATGCCCAGATTTTTCAATAAATAGGCTAATCATTTTCTCATAAAAGCATTTTTGTTCTATCAGTTATCCACTCCCACTAAATTACTTGTCAGTACAGAAGAAGGGCAGAACTGAGGGATGGACTAGAAAGAAAAAACCCAAACAGCATTCATCCTAACACTCTTGTCTTTTTGACCCATTTTATGACAATAAATTCTTTCTGAGAGCCCCTACCTTTCTAGATAAGAAATTAATTTACCTTCCTTTGAATTTATCTCTTTCAATAGTCTACTTAAGTTATTAGAATTTTCAGGGGATGACATGTAGCATCATACAGGAATCACATAGAAATAAAGAGAATACAAAAGTAAGGCTGGATAATTTTTCTGATTCTGATATATAAAACAGGATACTAATCCTTGGACATATCAGTGGAAGTCTTAAAGCACTGAAGTGTTAAGACCATCATGATACTTATTAATATACTCTTCCTAAAACCATTAGACAACGTTTTGAATAATGAATAACAAAATCCATCTTGAAATTAAAGAAAGGGAAAGAGATTTAGAAAGCATATATGGAAAAATATATACATGATTAAAATAATTTAAAAGGTAGTATATATTTTAATTTTTAAAAGTAACATTGTCTGCTGCTGCTGCTGAGTCATGTCAGTCGTGTCTGACCCTGTGTGACCCCATAGACGGCAGCCCACCAGGCTCCCCCGTCCCTGGGATTCTCCAGGCAAGAACACTGGAGTGGGTTGCCATTTCCTTCTCCAGCGCATGAAAGTGAAAAGTCAAAGTGAAGTCGCTCAGTCGTGTCCGACTCTTCGCGACCCCATGGACTGCAGCCCACCAGGCTCCTCCGTCCATGGGATTTTCCAGGCAAGAGGACTGGAGTGGGGTGCCATTGTCTACTAGGTCCAAAAGTTTGATTCACCATCTTCAAACTGGGGATAAACTATAATATTTGTAATTAAATCTTACTTGTATTTTATTTTTAATCTGGATGTACTTCAGCGGAAAAATAAAATACCTTCATTTTTAGGTTATGTATTTTCCTCCCAATAAAGTCTCTCAAATATACCTTAAGATAAAACTAAAATACTAGAACTAGTCAATCACCTATTTTTATACAAAGGAGTAAAATTCCCTTCATATTATTTTCTTTTAAATTAATGTGGATATAAGACATTTTCAAATTCTAGTAGTTTATTTATTTTCACAGGCTCTGTGAAGACAGTTTGTATTACTAAATCTTCTTCGAAAGGAAAAGAAATAACAAATTTCCCTTATTTTGCTACAACATTAAAAACATACTTTGAAGCCCCATTGAAACAATTAATGGGAACATTACAATTATATAGAAAAGGCTTTTCCACACATCAGGATAGAGGATGTTTCTGCATATAAAGTTTCCACTTAGAAAGATACTTTTTAATGACCTAGGAAATATAAATATTGCCAAAGTACTAAGCTATTTCCTAACTTACAGCAGTAACTTTGTCTAAAGAAAATAGATTGATGAGAATTTATCAGACATTTATAATTTGTTAAATAGTACAGTATAAACTTACTTGGTACTATAAGGTAGCAAATAGCTACATTTGGCTATTGAGAACCTGAAGTGTGACTAGTCAGAACTAATACATAAAGTGCCAAGTACAAACCAACTTTCAAAGACTTAGTAGAAAAAAAGAATGTAAAATATCTCACTCATAATTTTATATTGATTGTATAAACAATGACATTTTTGGTATAATGGGTTAAATAAAATGAATTAATAATATTGAAATTTATCTTTTGTATATGCTTTTTAACATAGCTATAAGAAAATTTGAAATTATGTACATACATTGCATTAGATTTTCATTGGCAGAACTGGTATAAGCAACTAGTTATGTAAGAATGTATCCTTTCATGGTTTATGCATTAATGTAGATTTTAGGTTTAAAACTAAGACTTGAAAATAACAAGTGAGATTATTGGTTAATCTGGAAACTTAAAAGGTAAGTTCAGGGGAAAATTTTGTCATTTATATGATATCAGATATCAGAAACCAACAAGATGAACAGTAATCATATATTGGTAGTTAAGATCAGAAGGATAACTTTCAGGTTAGTATCTTCTTTTCAAGTCTCTAATTTATCCTATATATGAACTAACTAACTAGAGAAATCCCTTTCATTGTAGTATTCTAATAGTAATTGTAATGCTTTTTGAGATTCATGGATAAAAGTCTAAATTGCCATGTAAAATTGATTTAGATAATTTTTGCTAATAGATTTATTTGCAATTGTGCTTCTGATAGCATGCCTTTAACACTGATAACTAAACCAAAGTTTGGATCCAGAGGATTCAATAATTTATGTAATGTTACTTTGAATTACACAAACTTATCTTTAAAGTAGGTATTCATACCGTCATAAATCCATCCAGCAAACCTGAATCGGGTTTCGGAGGTGCCTGCAACCGTTCCATGGACCACTTTTCAATGATGGAGGAGACTTGCGTATTTTCTGTATTTAATATTCTGAACCCTGTCATGTTAACACCACTGTATCGATAGGGTTCCACATCGAGAGCAAAGAGGTCCTAAAAGACAAATTTCTTTGTGTTAGCATCAAGAGAAAATATTCATAGGCAAGTATAATTGAAATAGTCATGTATTCTTGCTCCCCTTAGGATAGTTAACACCACTGTGTCTCAAACGATGTTTAACGTCACAAATCACCAAGACTCAAATACAATTATTGTCATGTTTTGTCAATGTAAATATATATAATATATATACTCTACTTACTTAAACATATACATATATATATTATTCCAATTCCGTCAATGGAACAATAGGCTTTTCTACAAACTTCCTTTAAAGTTTGCATAAGCTTTCTTCTCTATGTTAAGGATAGCTTGCCCTTAAATTTTATGCATTTGTGTTTTACAGTTACTGACTGTAAGTATTTTTCCATATTTTGCTTCTTTGATTATTGCCATTTTTGTGTTTTCTGCCTTGCCTTTTATTTTTAATAAATTATGATGTATGGCTCCTAGCTTATTATATCAAAGTTGAGGGGAAAAAAGTCACCAAAACTGGCCTTATTGGTTACAGAACTCTGATAGTTCCACTCTACTCAGCAACTCCCCCACAAATAACCTTTTAGATTGTGGTTGTCCTTTCCACTCTCTATACAGTGAACGCTCTGGATCTGCCCTTTGGTTTCCCCAGGAGATAAAAGGAGGTTAAAGCTGTCAGGGCAGTCAGATGTCACTAGAACATTCACGATGTGGGACTTCTGCCCTCTTTGAGTTAGCATTAGTAATCCTTGGATATTGAGGACTACAACGAGAACCACTGAGAGTATTAGGCAGGACAAGATCAGTGCCATCGGGCCTGGGCTGGGCATAGCTTGTCTTAGACCCAGACAACTGTACAGACCAGATGACGTGAAGTGAAGTGAAAGTCGCTCAGTCCTATCCGACTCTTTCAATCCCATGGACTATACAGTCCACAGGATTCTTCAGGCCAGAATACTGGAGTGGGTAGCCTTTCCCTTCTCCAGGGGATCTTCCCAACCTGGGACTGAACCCTGGTCTCCCACATTGCGGGTGGATTCTTTACCAGCTGAGCCACAAAGGAAGCCCTAGACTAGATATAGGAACTAAATTCAGTGGAAAGAAGCTGACACTGGCCTAACTTCTGCTCTGTGCTGTGAAAAACATAAGGAACTTCCAGGTTTTTAATTTTCAAAGTTTGAAGTCTAGCCAAGGAGAATTTCTCTCTCTTTGACTATATATACATATGGCTATATATATAGACACACACACAGCAATGCAATATATGCTAAAGGGACAAAAGAGCGCAAGTGCAAGCAGTCAGAAGCAAGACAAATTATTTTCAACTTTAATAGTCAGGAACAGCTTCATAGAGCAGATGGGATCTGAGCTTCCATTAAAGAATGGCCATGCTTTTGATAGGCAAAAGACCAAATGTCAGTAGAGACACAAAAATTAGAAAATATAAAAGCTGCTCAGGAGACTAAACCATTTTGGCTATAAGAGAATTCATAAAGGAGAACAGCAACAAAAGAAAGTAGGGAAGTTAGGTTAGAATCAAACTATAAAAGGCCCTCAATTATAGGCTAATGAGTTCTATATATACTAGTTTTTCTTTCCATTTTTTTTTCCTTTTTAAGAGATACTTTTGATTTCCCAAAATCTTATGATTATGGCATAACTGAGTTGCAAAGCATTGAAATATAATTTGCTGACAAGTGAAGGCTCCTACTCATTCTCCATCAGCCCATGACTAAGTTTCCCATGGGCTGCAAAAAGCCACCTGGTAAGAAGTAATAAAGAGATGCAGCAGAGTTAACCTCAGTATTTACCAGTGAAATACAACCTTCTGTATGAAGCATCTTTATTGGAGAAGAATTGTTTTTATAAGAAGCGATTGTGATCAACTAAATTTTAATAATTTGTTCTGATAAATTTAAGACTCCTAATAGCAAGAAGATCAACTGGAAAACTTTTGAGTTTTGAAAGAGTATTGGTGAGACTGCTCACTGCAAGAAGAAGATGCATACTAGAGACACTACCCTAAGCCTGGCATGCTGCAGCCCATGGGGTAGCAAAGAGTCTAACATGACTGAGTGACTGAACTGAACTGAACTGAACTGAGAGACACTACAGAGGAAAAATCAGTAGAATTTGTTGGGGATAGAGGAGTCAAAGATAATGGAACTTTTGAAGAATTCAGAATATGAGTCAATTGAGAAGACAATGCATTAAGGTTCAAATAACTTGAAATTATATTAAAGCCACAGCAATTAGAAATGCTCTGTAATGCTGCAATTTACAACAATTCAGGAATGTTACAGATGGGCATTCAGATCTCAGCTGAACAAAGGGAATGATTAAAGCTATAAATACATACAACTTTTGAAGAAAATAATCGAAGAGGATAAAAGAAAATAAAATACAGGCCCAAACTTCGAGACACTCTCCTACTGGGAGGTGGGCAGGAGAGACCTAGTGGCAGCGACAGACACCAGTTTCACAGTGAATGGCAAACTAGGGCAATGTGTTGGTAAGAAATAGAGCTAAGGGTAAGTAGGTTTGATAAAAAACAAAAGTCAGGTTTGCATGCACATTAAGAAAAAACTGTGTAGTGAGTATTAAAGACAAAAGATAAAGGTAACATTCAATTTGCTACTTGCAAATTAGATCATATATACTTAAAAAATCCAACCTAACATATGCAAAAACAAAATAGAAATTTAATATACTAAAGTAGTAGCTTAAATAAATGTGATTTTTGTTAAGTCAATAGAGGTAACAAGATAAGAATTTATGCTTTTCTAAAACATTGATTTCTCAGCAAACTAATCTTAAAATTCATGATGTTCTGAAAGTCTTGAAAGCAATATAAAAGTAAGACACATTATTTTGAATTGATATCTGAAATTATATTATTTTAAAATCAACAGTTTCCCACCAAGAATCATTAGTTATCTGTGATGATAATTCCTCTTGGGTTTTATAAAAATAAAATAAATTCTAACTATAAGAGTGCTGCCATTATATTACTTCTTCCCACTCAAAGCCCATTTTTCAGCCTGAAATTCATTATAAGAAACTTTAGAGCATTATGTTTATATTTTTCATGAATTACTTACCAGTGTGGTAAAGATATAATGGTAGTATTCTGTCATCATTCCCATAGCTAATGCCTAAGAAGTAAAAAATAAAATAAATATTAAAATATTAACATTGAAGGTACACATTACATGAAATACCTTATGTCAATAAGACAAATGAGAAGAAAATAGTTAATATATAATGAAGAATCAGTGTATAATATTCAGGTTACATTAAAATTGGGTCAAATCAAATCTATTTTCCATAGTTAAAGAAGATTAGTGGTTAGGAAGGAATTTCTGAAACAGTTCTCTTGATAAAAAAGCTATTAGTTGAATGTTTGCAATTGTAAGGCTTAGAGCTTTACATAATAAAAGAGGCATTAAATTTGAAACAAAAAGCACATCCTAGTTCATTAAATTTGTAATGTCCCTACTACAAATATCATAATAAGGAACACATTTTATTTTGTTGAAAAGTATTCCTCAGTTAGAAAAAGAGTGTTCCGAAGTACAATACCAACAGAACTTTTTTTGAGCATTTTAGACATTTTCTTAGTATTAATGAAGCAAATGTAAATCACCACTGTACAGATAAAGTGTTTTTTGCTTTTTATTAATAGACCAATTGAAATTTACTATGTTTTATTTTCACACCTCTACAGCTCTCATCAATTTTAGACCATCAGTCCTAAAACAAGGGCTTTTGGAGCAGAACTTCCAGTCATAAGAAGCATCAATTTCCTCTCTGAAAATAGAGAATGCATTTGAAATAGCTGTTTATCAATGAACAGTGTTCGGTGATGATAGTTGAAAAATGATGCATTTTTGAGCTGAATGAAGAGCTCTTAGTAAACGAGTATTCTCGGGTACATCTAATACTCTTCTACAAACAACTACTCTAATTGGTTTACTAAGTGGCTGCCCCAGCTGCATCCTCTGTATTCCATGTTCATAGGTAGGTAGTAACCAATTAGGTCTAATAAAATTTGTGTTTCTACAAATTCATACCTATCAGTCAAGAAGATGGATGTTTTTTGAAAAGTTTGGGGGGCATATAAAATGTACTTTTTAAAAAGGGAGAAACATTTGTTAGTGAAAGCTGGCATCAAAGAATTGAGCAGAGGAAAGGAATTTAGAAAGTGTGATATTGTGATTTATAATAAGAAAATATGTATTTAGTCTTCGTCTCCACTTCTGGCACAGAGCTCCAGAGACTCTTGGAATTTCCCAAACGATAAAAGCAATGGGGACAACTTTTGTTATTATAGTCGGTCTCTTTTCCTGAAATTACTTCAGAGCCATAAAAGTGAAACGAATGCCTTGTTATTTTTGACAAGCACCTTTAAACCACAACTGAGTTTATGTGAAAAGAGGTGATTTGGGGAAATCCCCTATAGATCGCAGGGGTGGGAGAGGGGGTGCTTATTGTCCAGAAAGCAACTTTGTTAAAGGAAAGTTGGAACTTTCAGTCTAACCCCTTCTGCCCCCTGAACTCTTGGAAGGGAAGAGGGGCTGGAGATCATCTCCATCATCTCAAGCCAGTGATTCAGTCAGTGATGCCTATGTACTGAAGCCTCCATAAAAAGCTAAAGGAGAGGATCTGGAGGGCTTCCAGATTGATGAACAAGTGACCATGCGAGGACAGTAGATTATTCAGATGGGGCATGGAAGCTCTTTTCCCTCTCCCCGTATTTTGACCTATGCACCTTTTCTATCTGCTTGTTACTGAGTTATATCCTTTCATAATAAACTGGGAATCTGGTAAGAAAAATGTTTCTCTGAGTTCTGTGAGCTGCTCTAGCAAGTTAAACAAACCTCAGGAGGGGATTGTAGAAATGTCCAAGCTAGAGCCAGTGGGTTAGAAGCATAGATATAACCTGGATTTGTGGTTGGCATCTGAGTTGGTGGGGGAGGGAGGAGAAAGACAGTCTTATATTAATAGAACTAAGCCCTTAATCTGTGGAGGCTGATGCTATCTCTGGATAGATACTGTCAAAATTAAGTTGGATTGTAAGACAATGAGTTGGCATCAGAACATTGCTTGTGGTGTGGGGGACACCCTCCCCTAACCGCCACAAGCACAGTTGAATTAGATGTACAGCCTTTAGGAAACAATATTTCCTGAATTGATAAAAATTATATGAGCCAAACATAAACAATTATATGAGCCAATAACACTGATAAAGTTTGCATTTAAGCAAAATGAGAGAAAATGTTTCTTATTAAATAAAAATTTACAGGATTATCTTTGTAGAAGGTATTCATTTTTCCTGATGGATATGCAGTAAAGGCTTCTCAACTTCAGAACTCCTCAGTGAAGCTCAGCATTACCCATGTCAGTGTTTCACTTTATGAACTCAATAGGCATAGAAATATAGGGAGATATATATGAAAGAAATAGCAATTCAGATGCATAACTATAAATAACAGTTACATAATGCCTAAAAAGTGTTGGGTACTATTCTAAGCACACTGCATATTTTAATCAATTTAAGCTTCATTAAAAAGCCTATGAAGTAGCTCCTATTATCATACTTATTTTACCGGTGAAGAAACTAAGACATAATAAGAATGAATAAATTAGCCAACAAATTGAGAGAGCATGTAAAGATGAACTCCAGGTCTCTAACTCCTGGAGCTGGTATATACAGCATGATCTATGCCTTTTATAAAGTGGTATATTGTATATTCCCAAAGATACAGATCCACTTTACAATCTATATATTCTAAAATTTTGACTGTTTCCTCCTTGATAATTTGAAAACCTGGGACTCTCAGGCCAATACAGGAAACTATGTTTTGGAAGAGAGTGGGATGTAGTTAAGGAGAGTGTTCTGCATCAGCTGCAGGTTTCTTCTTCGTCTTCTTGAGAAGAAAACTGTAAGGAATAACAGGACTGTGTGTGCTTTTCATTGATCTCCCTTAAGTCTTTGATACTGAAAACAAGAGTCAGTTATGGACTTTGAACTAAGATCTAAGTAGAGAAGTTTAGCTATAACATGAACAAAAGTGAACAACTGGGATACTCTCTTGGAAGGTGAGCTAGCAATTTCCAGTGGGAATTTAGAAAGAACTTGCACTCAATCTTTTAATTAAAGCCTTTAGGTCTTGCTAGTACTACATTTGAATGAACTATATGCACACTTCAGATCACATTAAAAAGAATAAAATTATCATCTTCTTATGGATAAATAAGAGTGGCCACAATAGAAAATTGTTTGTGCCATGTCACCCTCCTGGAAAGAAATACCACAGATTAATTTTTCCAAAATAAAAATATCATTAGAATTTCCCAACGTTTAACTGAGGTAGTGTTAACAGTATTATATGACAAATTAACACACACAGTTATTCAGGCATACAATTTGCAGCCAGTTTATCCTTCACATTCTATCTGGACATCTGCGTCATCACTGTTTAGTTGCTCAACCATGTCCAACTCTGTGACCCCATGGACTGTGGCCCTCCAGGCTTCCTCTGTCCATGGGATTTCCCAGCAAGTGTACTAGAATGGGTTGCCATTTCCTTTTCCAGGGGTTTTCCTGGCCCAGGGATAGAACCCATGTCTCCTGGGCAGGCAGATTCTTTACCACTAAGTCCCCTGGGAAGCCCATGAGTTACATTGCTTAACGTTAACAACTGGAGTGGTAGACTTTATACATATTTCTTGAAATTTTATTTTATTTTACTTCTTGCTGCTGCAGCAGTTTCTTTGCTTCTGCTTTTACATTTTCCAGGCTAAAAAATTTGATTTCACATTCTATGATACAGACTTCAAAGTTCTTGGTTGCTATTTCTTTCTGTGATAGAATGTCCTTCTGAGGTCTTACTGCACATCATCTCGGCCCTACCATAGAGGATTCTCGTTGGCAAATCTGAGAAGACTGGAATCTCTTGCTATTAACGCATGTATGACAATGAGTGCCCTGAATCTGCCTCAGAGGAACTCTAGCCAGGCCCAGGCTTCACTCACTTTTAAAGCTTTGAGGCAGGAAAACTTCAAATTCAAGGTTGCTCCAAATTTAGTAAGAGCTATGTTAGTTTAAATTAAACAAACAAAAATCTCTTTTTCTGGATATTCCTAATATTTGTTCTTGGGGTAAACCAGACAAGCTGAAAGCTCCATTTATGCCTGCTATTCAACTCTTAAATCATTTCTTTGGAGTTTCATCATTCTTCAACATCTTCATGTTGAAGAATCTTGGAACAATTTCATAAGTCATAAAGTGGAGTCCTACTAAATATACTGCTACATTTACAAAAAATAAGCTATTTACTTTCTTTTTGAATTGGTTTCTAGACTAACTGAGATCCATATATGAGACAAATGCTTTCTGGGACAAGGTAAGTTTTTAAAAATAACCTCACCATATGTGATCTGCCAGTGTTATAGAATCGAAAACCATGCTTTCTATGTGAAAGTGTTATTCTGACTTCAACTTAACTTTCATATTCTCATTTTACTTTTGTTCTGATTTTTCACCTACTAATCTTGTTAAAATTACATAATTTTACTGTTTAATATATTTTGAATACAACTTTAATTTTGTTTTCATTTTCCAAATAGCAGGTTACACATCAGAAAGCAAATATAAAATAATGGATAAATCAACAAAAGAAAGAATGGAAATTCTGTAAAAGTGATAGATATTCTCACCTTTCAAACAGCAAAATAAGTCAGAGTTAATTACTCTACAGAAAAGACAATTGATCATCATACACACTTGTTGGAAGTCTAGAGAAAGCATACTATCTGTGACTGGCAAATAGTACAGTGCTACTCACTCCAGGCATAAAGGAAAGGCATTCTTTCCAAGTCTGTGTATTACAAACATGATCAAGAATTTTTGTTATTAAATGAAAAATAAATTCCAACTCTAAATTCCAGTGCTTACCTTATTATATCATTTATTCCAAAAATCCCAACCAAACAACCACAACCATGCTTACATTCTTTATTACTCAAACATAACACTAGAGCAATTTTCCAAATCCAATTAAATATTTTATTGTAGTGAAGTCAACATCCATATTGGAAGATTAGACAAACATCTGCTTAATAAACTAACCATGTTATAACAGGCATTTACTGTTGGTAGTTATATTTTATGAGATATAATTTGACATCTGAATCTGCATAACCCTCTGGTAGAGATAACTTATCCTAAATTTATCAAGACAGTTGACTTATTTCCAGTGCCAGCATGTATAAAAGAGCTTAAAAAACAAAGCCCAAAGACGTGTGTTCAAATTCAGATTCTACTATATAATACAGCTTTATACTAGCTATTTAACCCCCTACATCAATCCCCTCATGTATGAGCTAATAATAATTGTTTTTCAGTGGGCTGTAGGTTTGAATAGTGTTGAAGTCATAGTAAGAGGTTTTTACTGCTATTAATTGCTTGCTTTAGTTGATTTAGTATTATCTTTTTAAGTAGACAATGCTTTATTCTGGAAAGAATAGTTCTTTTTTTTTTCCATTTATTTTTATTAGTTGGAGGCTAATTACTTTACAACATTGCAGTGGTTTTTGTCATACATTGAAATGAATTAGCCATGGATTTACATGTATTCCCCGTCCCGGTTCCCCCTCCCACCTCCCTCTCCACCCGATCCCTCTGGGTCTTCCCAGTGCACCAGGCCCGAGCACTTGTCTCATGCATCCAACCTGGACTGGAGATCTGTTTCACACTTGGTAATATACATGTGTCGATGCTGTTCTCTCAGGTCATCCAACCCTCGCCTTTTTTTTTTTTTTTTTTTTTCCATTTATTTTTATTAGTTGGAGGCTAATTACTTTACATCATTGCAGTGGTTTTTGTCATACATTGAAATGAATTAGCCATGGATTTACATGTATTCCCCGTTCCGATTCCCCCTCCCACCTCCCTCTCCACCTGATCCCTCTGGGTCTTCCCAGTGCACCAGGCCGGAGCACTTGTCTCATGCAAAATAATAGTTCTTAACATCACTAAGGAGAAATACAAATCCCTCCGCTATACACTTGCTGATGGAATTAGTAAGGTTACTTAACCTTTCTGAGACTCAGTTTCTTCATCTGTAAAGTAGATCTAGTCTCCATCTTTATAGATTATTTGATTTTTTTTTTACATAATTGATTATTTTTAATATAATCATTACATAATCATTTTTTACATAATCCTTTGATTATGGTGATGATTAAATAAGATCAAATGCGTAAGGCATCTCATCATAGCATACATGTCAGGTAAAGAACAATTTTTTCTCTTATTTTTGCTTTGAAGTTTACTCCCTCATTTCAGCACAAAATAGAAATATCTATTGCTTTAATCAATATTTGCAATAACAAACAGTATTTTAGCCATTTGAAACTAACCTCAGAATTTCAATCTGCTTTGAAGATCATCACTATCTATATTACTTTCCTTTTAAGACAATTACTTAAAAGCACTTGTCAGATTTTTTTATCAGAAAATTTATATCAAAGTGACTTCTCTGACTTATTTTTAAGCTGACCATGTAACAATAACAACTTCATTTAAAAATCAAAAACCAGGGGACTTCTCTGGCAGCCCAGTGGTTAAGACTCTGTGCTTCCACCTCAGGTGGCACAGGTTCAACGCCTGTTTGGGGAATTTTCAAATGCCATGAATGTGGACAAAAACAAACAAACAAAAAACATACTTCAAACTCAAATGTAATAAAGAAATTAAGAACTTGAATAATTTAGCAATTACCTGTTTCAAAATGCCTGCGGCCATCTCATGGCTACAGTCAAAGATGACATGGAATTCCTTGCCTCTTTTCATCTCTTTCAGTAAGGGTTTTGCATCCTTTGTATCAGCAGGTAGTTGACGGATCTTAAGTCGAAGATTGTATCTTGATGGAGCTTTGATGAGCTCCTGCAAGCGAATGAGACCTTTAATGAAAAAGCAAAAAAAAAGAACGTTAGAGAAAAATCACAGTGGATCATAGAAATCACAAAACACTACAGTGCTTGATTTTCCTGACCGTGTACATTTCATGATGCGGCCACTGAAATTCCTGCTTCAGAATTCCTAATTGCCAGTGTTTTTGTTAATGTGCCATGTGCTCAGTCATGTCCGACTCTTTGTGACCCTATGGACTCTGTCAGACTCCTTTGTCCATGAGATTTCCCAGGCAAGAATACTGGGGTGGGTTGCCATTTCCTCCTCCAGAGGATCTTCCTGATCCAAGGATCAGACCTGCTTGTCCTAAGGCTCCTGCATTGCAGATTCTTTACCCTCTGAACCATCAGGGAAGCCCCATTTTTGTTAATATTACCTCTCAAAATCTTAGGGTATATCTTAAAGAATGAAAGACATACATGGCTATTAGTTAAATGTAAACAATTTAAACACAGAATATAGAATAAAACAGTTTCCCTTTGTACCCTAACTCTACTTCCAGTGGGTTGTCATGGTTGATGGCTTGAAATATTATCTTCCATATATTTCTTATGTACTTGCACATATATACATAGAGGGTTTTATTTTACATTAATAGTTGTTTTGTGAGAATGTCTTACAGGTTATTATGTCAGTGACTACCGTTATGCTGCAGCTGCTAAATCACTTCAGTCGTGTCTGACTCTGGGCGACCCCACAGATGGCAGCCCACCAGGCTCCCTTGTCCCTGGGATTCTCCAAGCAAGAACACTGGAGTGGGTTGCCATTTTCGTCTCCAACGCATGCAAGCATGCTAAGTCACTTCAGTTGTGTCTGACTCTGTGCGACCTTATGGACAGCAGCCCACTGGGATTTTCTAGGCAAGAGTACTGGAGTGGGCTGCCATTTCCTTCTCCAGACTATTGTACTAGTTTGTCTAATTAATTAAACACCATTTTTTAGTATATACACTTAATGCAGTTATTCTGTTATTAAAAACTTTGATGGCTTCTTTTTATTTATTTATTTTTTTACAAGTAGTGGTTTAGTAATTTGGTGTATATGTATAACTTTATTTGGAAACAGGAATAAAAAGTATCTTCTTATGACTTCCGTGGTGGCTCAGACGGTAAAGCGTCTGCCTACAATGTGGGAAGCCCGGGTTTCATCCCTGGGTCAGGAAGATCTTCTGGAGAAGGAAACGGCAACCCACTCCAGTACTCTTGCCTGCAAAATCCCATGGATGGAGAAGTGTGGTAGGCTACAGTTCATGGGATGACAAAGAGTCGGATATGCTTGAGTGACTTCACTTTCTATTATGACAAAAATATACTGTATATTAAAATAATGTAAGAGATCTAAAGAATAAAATCTAATTCTGGAAAGTTTTTCATTCAGTTTTTAATTAAATGATACAGCCTCTTAGACATACAATGCTATATACATGTTAGCATGTTTCAACATAGTTAATAAAATTAATATGACTAATTTTAAGTATTTTCATCCTTAGGACATGAAAGATAAAGTGAAAGGTAAAAAGACAGCTTTCAGAATGGGAGAAAATAATAGCAAATGAAGAAACAGACAAAGGATTAATCTCAAAAATATACAAGCAACTCCTGTAGCTCAATTCCAGAAAAATAAATTACCCAATCAAAAAATGGGCCAAAGAACTAAACAGACATTTCTCCAAAGAAGACATACAG